GCTGCTGCTGCTGCTACTGGCATCTCTCTCTGGTCTCTCTCTGGTCTCTCTCTGGTCTCTCTGGTCTCTCTCTGGTCTCTCTGGTCTCTCTGGTCTCTCTCTGGTCTCTCTGGCCTCTCTCTCTAGTCTCTCTCTCTCTGGTCTCTCTCTAGCCTCTCTCTCTGGTCTCTCTCTCTGGTCTCTCTCTCTCTGGTCTCTCTCTAGCCTCTCTCTCTGGTCTCTCTCTAGCCTCTCTCTCTGGTCTCTCTCTCTGGTCTCTCTGGTCTCTCTGGTCTCTCTCTCTCTGGTCTCTCTCAGGTTTCTCTCTCTCTCTGGTATCTCCCTGGTCTCTCTCAGGTTTCTCTCTCTCTCTGGTATCTCCCTGGTCTCTCTCAGGTTTCTCTCTCTCTCTGGTATCTCCCTGGTCTCTCTCAGGTTTCTCTCTGGTCTCCTTGTTTTACTCTATTATTTTTCTGGCAAAATCCCATTGAGGTTCAAGTTTAGCCAACTTAAGCCCTGTTTTCACTCGTCTGACCTGGTCATTCCCTGGTCTCTCTCTGGTCTCACTCAGGTCTCTCTCTCTTTGGTCTATATCTCTGGCCTCTATCTCTGGTCTCTTTCTCTGGTATCTCTCTCTCTCTCTCTGTTCTCTCCCCAGGAATGGATGGATTGTACCACATAGTTCCATTTGCCTTTGGACTTGCTACATACATTACCATGGCGACCCCCTCCCCAGCTCTCATACTCAGGCTTTGACGACTCGCCCGTGAAGTCTCCCATTTGGCGACGCTGGAGGCTAGCTACGCATTAGCGCGCGGGGAAACAGGAGCCGGCTAATACTCAGTGTGGGCAATAACACACGACACCCCTTTGGCAGCGCATCCCCAGACGCCATTAAAGTCGGGGAGGAGGGGGGTTAAGCGCGGCTATGGCCAGAGTTTGTGAGGCGTGAAGCGGCTGCAGTGGTTAGCCTCTGGGGGGTGGTGTTCGGGAGTGGGAACATCAGATAGAGAGACATAAAAACATGCTTGAACCGATCCTGAGGGAATGACGACTGTTTAACGTAGTTTCTGAAAAATACAGAGAGAGACCAGAAAGAGACCAGAAAGAGACCAGAAAGAGACCAGAGAGAGACCAGAAAGAGACCAGAAAGAGACCAGAGAGAGACCAGAAATAGACCAGAGAGAGACCAGAGAGAGACCAGAAATAGACCAGAGAGAGACCAGAGAGAGATTTGAGAAAGAGATTAGAAGGAAACATTAGAGCAGACCGGACCAGAGAGAGAGACCAGAGATTGACCGTAGAGAGACCAGAAAGAGGCCAGAGAGAGTGACCAGAGATAAACCAGAGAGAGACTAGACAGAGAGAGACCAGATACAGTAGATAGATTAGAGAGAGACCAGAGAGAGGGACCAGAGAGGGACCAGCGGGAGACAGGAGAGACCAGACAGAGAGACTAGTCTTTCTAGTCTCTAGAAAGACTAGAGACCAGAGAGAGTAGTGAGAGAGACTGGAGAGACCATAAGAGAGAACGGAGGGAGACAGAGAGAGACCAGAAGGAGAGAAACCGGACATAGAGAGCAGAGAGAGGGACCAGAAATACACTGGAGAGAGACACCTGATACCAGAGAGAGAGAGAGAGAGATCCAACCTCTGAACTAACTGCAGTGCACACAAGCCACAAAAGTTTCCTTCTGACTTAAAGGTAACCGTGGTGTTGTACCAGCACTTAGCCGTTAGCCGTTAGCAGTGGTACACACTATAAACCATTACAAAAATCCACGAAACATTGAGATTGCAAAAAGCAAACCGAGTTACAGCAAACATGCCAACGTTGCAACTTATCACATTGACTATTAAGCTAATTACCGATAACACCCATATTGGATTTCGGTTTCTATGCTAGCCACCTGCAAGGCTAAATCTGATAATTAGCCATTAGCTTTGCCCCCAGACAAAAGAAAAACAAGTATTATTGCAGCTGGACACGCCGCACTGTGTATAATCTCTGTTCTCCCTGAAATCTTACCTCGGCTGTATTTCAGAGCTGTTCTAATTGTGCGGAAGCGTCTGATAAGGGAAAATAATTAGCAGCTGGTTTTTGGCTCGGCGGCAAAAGAGAATTGTACTGATGAAGCAGCAATTAGAGGCAGGAATCAAACAACTAGGAAGAAATGAGCTTAAAATAGGATTGATATGAGGGGAAAGAGTTGGTTTTGTTTCTTTTTATTTGGAATTGAAGGGTGAAATGTTTGAGAGAGAGAGACCAGAGAGAGAGACTTAAGAGAGAGACCTGAGAGAGACCAAACGGAGAGACCAGAGGGAAAGACTAGACAGAGATACTTTAGAGAGACCAAGGGGAGCGACCAGAGAGTTCAGAGAAGGACCAGAGAGAGATACCGGAGAGAGCGACCGGAGAGAGCGACCGGAGAGAGCGACCGGAAAGAGCGATCAAAGAGAGGGACTTGAGAGAGACCAGAGATAGACTTGTGAGGGACCAGAAAGACCGACCAGACCAAACGGAGCGACCAGAGGGAAAGACTAGACATAGATACTTGAGAGAGACCAGAGAGAGAGACCGGAGGGAGACTAGAGAGATCAGAGAGAGTGACTTGAGAGGGACCAGAGAGAGAGACCAGAGAGAGTGACTTGAGAGGGACCAGAGAGAGAGACCAGAGAGAGTGACTTCAGAGGGACCAGCGAGAGTGACCAGAGAGAGGGACTAGGGAGAGCAATCAGAGTGAGAGACTTGAGCGAGAGATTGGAGAGATAGACTTTAAAGGGACCAGAGAGACCAGAGAGCTTCCAGAGAGAGACCAGAGAGAGACTACTGAATAATCACCTCTAATATGAGTTTGATCCATGTTACAATACTTTTTCCTCTTTAAATCCGTATTTTTTAGCTCCATCCATCAAAATATGAGGAAATTCTGACAAATCACACATCGTCCCCCGACCCTTCTGTCTAGTTGATTTTATACTCAATATATTTTATATTCAATTATACTTTAGATACTGTTTCTCAAAAGCACAGTCTATAGTTAGATTGAAAGATGTGGTGTTGCCGCAAATATTATTTTGATTTGTCTGTAGCAGCTTTTTAAGTTTGCCGTGTTACTAAAGGGTCGAAGTCTACTGTATAAACTTTAGATTCTGCTTGGTCCTTTTTCAGACCTTTTTTTTTGTTGCCAAAAACGACTGAAATGAATAAACAAACTGAACTGAAACTGATGTGAGTATTAAATATGACTTTGCTCTGACCACTGCCCTTTAAGGTTTTGGAAAGTTCTGTTTTTTTTCCTTTTCCCTCTTTCCGTCGACACCACATGGGCAATTGCTTGGACAGAAGTGAAGTGTGCTGCAGTTTAAAGATGTTACAAACTGTGTGTCTTCCAAAGCAAACGGAGACAGAGCTGCAAACACACACAGGAGAAGGCCCCCGCGGGGAGAGCGAGGGCCCCGCACCTCGGGCTGAAGACCGGTCTTTATTTCACACTCGTAATGGAAGTGGGAGGGCAGGGAGCAGCGGTAATTGGGTCGATGACGGAGATATGAAGCACACAGGGTTAGGTCGCTGTTCAGAAGGGACTGACCTCCTGCTGAGACTCTGAGGAGCACAGGGACTGGCCTCCTGCTGAGACTCTGAGGAGCACAGGGACTGGCCTCCTGCTGAGACTCTGAGGAGCACAGGGACTGGCCTCCTGCTGAGACTCTGAGGAGCACAGGGACTGGCCTCCTGCTGAGACTCTGAGGAGCATAGGGACTGGCCTCCTGCTGAGACTCTGAGGAGCATAGGGACTGGCCTCCTGCTGAGACTCTGAGGAGCATAGGGACTGGCCTCCTGCTGAGACTCTGAGGAGCATAGGGACTGACCTCCTGCTGAGACTCTGAGGAGCACAGGGACTGGCCTCCTGCTGAGACTCTGAGGAGCACAGGGACTGGCCTCCTGCTGGGACTTTGGGAGTACAAAGAGAGACTAGAGAGACCAGAGAAAGACCAGAATGGGACCAGAGAAAGACCAGAGGGAGACTAGAGGGACTAGAGAGACAAGAGACCGGAGAGAGACCAGAGAGAGACCAGAGAGAGACCAGAGAGACACCAGAGAGACACCAGAGAGACACCAGAGAGAGACCAGAGGGAGACTTGAGAGACCAGAGAGAGGCCAGAGAAAGACCAGAGAAAGACCAGAACAGGACCAGAGAAAAACCAGAGGGGGACCAGAAAGAGACCAGAGAGTGTGGCAAAACATACATGCATGTGAAAACTGTTTCAGAGGAACAAGTTAGATGGATTCTATTTCTCGGTTCTCTGTCTGGCCTCCTTTGATTTTAATGCTTTATTTACTGTCTTGTTTTTTCAGCACTTTGAGTTGCCTTGTGTATGAACTGTGCTACGCAAATAAACTTGTTTTTGCCAGATTTGTTCTAGTTAAAGTGAAGCAAACCAATGAGTGAGAAACAGTCCTTGCAAGCTCTTTTTAAAGCTCCACTTGAATCTCACTCCTTCTCTTGTTGCCGTGAGTGACAGAGCGGAGACTTTATCTCTCCGTTAGCGTCATTAGCGTCGTTAGCCTCCGTTGCTCGACAACTCATTGAAGTCACGTTCACAACAAACCACTCAATCCAAGCGCTGATTCCATCCCGCAAAAACAAATGTTCTCTCACCTTTTGGCGCTGAATCACCATTAAGTGAAGTTGTATTCTCTCGCAGGTCTCTCACTGTTCTCTCTCTATGCTCTCTTTGTCTCTCTGTCCTCTCTGGTCTGTGTCTCTCTGGTCTCTCTCTCTGCTCTCTCTCTGGTCTCACCCTTCTCCCTCTGGTCTTTCCCTCTCTAATCTCCCTCTGGTCTCTCTCTGGTCTTTCTCTCTCTGGTCTTTCCCTCTCTAATCTCTCTCTGGTCTCTCTCTGGTCTCACTCATCTCTCTCTGGTCTCTCTCTCTAATCTCTCTCCGGTCTCTTTCTGGTCTCTTTCTGGCCTATCCGGCCTCTCTCTTTCTGGTTCCTCTATGCTCTCTCTCTCTTTGGCCTCTCTCCATCCATGCTAATATCTGCAACTAATGGCACAAACATGTAGCCCCTGTCTCTGTCCTGTAACAGTGTGTTTTCTCTCTGGTCTCTCTCTGGTCTCTCTCTGGTTTCTCTCTCTGTCTGGTCTTATGTCTGTTCTCTCTTTGGTCTCTGTCTGATTGCTTTCTGTCTGGTCTCTCTCTCTCTTGTCTTTCTCTCTCTGGTCACTGTATCTTCTCCCTCTCTGGTTTCTCACTGTCTGGTCTCTCCCTGGTCTCTGGCTTTGTGTGGCATGTACCTCAGAATAATATAAAATGTTTTGCTCAAAAACTGTTTGCAATCTTGATAAAAAACAACAGCTAGAAACCCAAACTCAATTAGCATTATATGTTCACTTTGATTTTGAACCCACGGTCACAAAACACACTGATCCTGAGACATTTGGACCTGGCTGTAGTTTTGTGCCTAAATCCGGTCGGGGATTTGTTATAAAACGGCTCCGACTTTTAAAACACCAGACTGAAGTTTGACGGACGTGGCAGCAATTTCCTCGCGATCTCCTCCAAAGCAATAACACAACCTTTTGACGTCTCCAAACTCCCCCAGATTTCTCTCCAATCTCCAAAGCGTCAACAACTCGCTGCTTTTCATTTGAGCCAGAAACGGAACAGAACGGAGCAGAAAGAACTCCGCGGCTACAACTCTTATCAGTTCATGAACTAATCGACACGCAAATCTGACATCAATACACACCGGGATTTGGGCAAAGACTGTGTAGAGATGGGCAAAGCTGACCTGCAGCTCAAGGAAACCCAAAAGGGAAGTGCCCATGGACGAAGTTTGGCTCCTATTAATGGCAGCTTTCCTCAGCCCCTGTTACAGTACACCATCAGAACTAATGCCCATATAAGACCATTTGTGATGCAACACTAGCTCTAGGGATTTAGGTAATTTTTGTTTTCTTTAGTGAGTAAGTAAGTTAGTACGCTCTAGACAAGAGAACCGAGAAGTACAATTCATAACATGACTAGTTAATGCATCTAAAACAGTTTTACATGCATGTATTGTTTTGCCTTTCTCTCTGGTCTCTTTCTGGTCCCGCTGTGGTCTTTCTCTGGTCTGTCTCTGGGCTTCCTCTGGTCCGGGTCTGGTCTTTCTCTGGTCTCTCTCTGGTTTCTCTCTGGTCTCTCTCTATTTCTCTGGTCTCTATCTAGTCTCTTCCTGGTCCTGCTCTGGTCTATCACCAGTCTCTTTCTGGTCCTGCTCTGGTAATTTTTGGGCTCTCTCTATCTCTCTGGTCTCTATCTAGTCTCTTTCTTGTCCCGCTCATGCATTTCTCTGGTCCCGTTCTCTGGTCTTTCTCTCTGGTCTCTCTTTGGTCTCTGTCTGGTCTCTCTCTCTGGTCTCTCCCTGATCTATCACTAGTTTTCACACTAAAGAGAGAGCAAAGACAGCATGTCGTGAACATCTCACTTATGCACGGACACTAAAAAGTTACGTACCCCAGCTTTAAACTCATCAGAATTCATTATTTTTAGACTTTACACAACGTTAACTCACTCCTAAAGGTCAAACAAGTGGAACGTTCCCTCAGTAATCTTCACAAAGTTGCCAATAAGAAGCCGGCTCGTATATATCTGGGTCGTAATTGAATCCCAGTGAAATGAAATGTGCGCCATACAAATAAAAGAGAATACGAGAGCGCGATGGAAGCGGGCGGAGCCATTAGCCGCGCTGCCTCGGCTTGATAAAGAGCGTCTTCAGCGGTTATTAAAACGCCGTCATATTAAAAAATCATTCTGGCCTTTTGCTGATGGCCGTTTTATTGCCTCTGCGAAAACCAGGGAGAGAGGGAGGGAGGGAGGAGAGAGGGGAGCGAGGAGATAGTGATGAGGGAGGAGGGAGAGCTGAGGTAGGGAGGGAGGAGGGAGTGAGGAGAGGGGAGAGAGAGGAGACGAGGGGGGGAGGGACTGAGGAAGGAAGTGAGGAGAGGAGGGAGGGAGGGACTGAGGAGAGGAGAGAAGAGAGACATGACAGCAGAGGAGAGAGGAGGGAGAGAGATAGGAGAGAGAGGAGAGATGATGAGAGGAGAGGAAAGGAGAGAGAGAGGAGAGGACAGCAGAGGAAAGGAGACAGTGAAATGAGAGAGAGAGTAGAGGAGAGATGATGAGTGGAGAGGAGTAATGGAGGGAGGGAGGAGAGGAGAGAGAAAAGAGCAGAGGAGAGGAGGGAGGAGGGAGAGAGAGGAAATAAGGGGGGAGGGAATGAGGAGAGGAGACAGATAGTAGAGAGGAGAGCAGAGGAGAGCAGAGGAGAGATGAGAGAGAGGAGAGAGGAGAGGAGAGAGATAGGAAAGAAAGAGGAGAGGAAAGGAGCAAGAGTTAGGAGACAGTGAGAGAGGAGAGGAGGGAGAGAGGAGACGGGGGGAGGGAATGAGGAGAGGAGACAGATAGAATAGAGAGAGGAGAGCAGAGGAGAAAAATATAAAATGTTTAGCTTACATTGAAATCAGGTTAAGGCTAACGCAGTGGTGATGTCACACTTTTTTACAGTCCTTGGTTCTCTTTAACATTTAATAGACAGAGAGGAGGAGGTCTGCGTGGCCGGGGCACGGATAAAGTGGAAGAGCTCGTCTGGAGCTAATGTTATTAAAGCGTGTGTTGTTTGACAGGTGACGCGGCCGGTGCGACCTCTGCAGCGGTGATGGATGTCGGAGCACGGTTTATCCAATCCAGCGACCCCACGACACAGACCTGGGGAAATCAGTCCTCCTCTGGCCCCTCGGCAGGAGACTCCGCAGGTCAGCATACCCACAATGCAACAGGGGTCTGCTTACCCACAATGCAACAGGGCTGGTCCCAGTGGTGCGAGAGGTCACGACTACACACACAAGACATATCCTGCATCGTTCTGTCCACATTCACCTTTTTCAAACTCTTACATTGGGGCGAATATAAAGGAAATATTTGGGCTAAAAAAGATTTAAGACACAAAAAAACTCAAAAATACAAAAATTCAGGATACACAACTCCAAACTCAAACCAAGACGAAACAAACACAAACAAATACACACAGGGACACACAACCAGAGGCTCATAGTAGAAACAGTATATATATTTAATCCAAACATAAAATAAAATTTTAGTCAGAAAAAAAAATGTCTATTGAACTAACAATAATTACCTGAGTTTAAACATTTTCCTGAATCAGCAGCAGGTGTGAAGTCAGAGGTTTTCCCAGTCTTTTAATCTGATTCACCCAAAACAGATGGGCACTGAGGTTGTGGGATCGCATCGAGGAAACAGACGAAAAGAAGGAAAACTTTAAAAGTTGGCTCAAAGTATGATTTTGGGATTTTATGAGGCTTTTAACAATGTGTGTAATTATCAAAAAAGATTATTGCACAGAAATGTTTTCCATTTTTTCATTTCAATGTTTTTAACCACAGACTGCAAACTAAATACCAATGGACAAGGCTAAACCGCTTTCTCAATGAAGCCCAATAGAGAAGTGCTCATGAGCAAAGTTTGCTCCAACTCGCTCTGGATCCTATTGACTCACATGTAAAAATAAACTCCCAACCCATACTCACTATTTTGGGCTTAAAACATCTTTTTCTATGATCCTGATGTTTAGATCTCTGCATCAGTTTTATAAAGCACTTTCTGGACACTCAAAGACACTTCACTCCTACACGGACAGCTCCCACCACCACCAACCGTTCACACACACACCAGACTCATTCTAATCTGGGTGAAGTGTCTTGCCAAAGGACACAGGGACAGTTCAGCACTTAACAGCCGTAGCCGTCCCACTCTCACACCTGGTGTTCACAGAGGTCTCCCATCACAGCACTAACCAGGCCCAGCACTGCTTAGCTTCGGATCTGGCCATGACCTGCAGGTGGCGCCACAAATCAATTTAAAATAATGTCTTTCTAAATCCAGATATGAGCCATGTAAGGGTTGACCAATCAGATGCCTTCATTCTACTCCAGCTGGCCTTAGCAACCGCCCTAGCAACACATCTTCAAACACATTGTAAAGCTCTTTGTGTGTGCTTGGTCTGTGAAATGTAAAAATCTAAATAAAGATAACACAGTGAAGCTTGGACTACAACATGGGGAAAAAATTTGTGTTAAAAGTAGAAGCAAATAAGAAGCAAAACTGGACCAAAAATTAAACTAAAGTGTAGTTTGCCGAGAAAACAAATGGTTAAAACAAAAGAGAGAGGGAAAGGGAAATATTTAGTATATATTTGGTGTTTTAAATTACATTCATAACTCATGTTTTCTCAGAGTAAACTGCTCTCGCTTCTGTCTGCAATTAAAATCCCTGATAAGCCGCTGCATAAAACACATATTTGCATTGATTGGATCAGAGACAGAGTAAAGAGCCAAAACTGAGATTTCTTCATCAAATTGCCCAAAAAAAACTGTTTAATCGTCAGTGGAACGCGAGCATATGGTGCTAAACATACATTAGATTAATTCTGGAGTTATAGGGAAGGATTTGTCATCAAACAGGGAATTAGACGATGGAAGTTTGTTTGTATATTTGTACGAAAACATGAAACGAAACAGTAAAATCATAAATAATTACAGTACTTTAAAATAGTGAAGATACAGTCCTGGTGCAAGGCCATGGAGAGACTTGTGATAAACAGAGGCCCAGGACTGAGGCTGTAGACCCAGGATTGAGGCTGTAGATCCAGGACTGAGGCTGTAGATCCAGGACTGAGGCTGTAGATCCAGGACTGAGGCTGTAGACCCAGGACTGAGGCTGTAGACCCAGGACTGAGACTGTAGACCCAGGACTGAGGCTGTAGACCCAGGACTGAGGCTGTAGACCCAGGACTGAGACTGTAGACCCAGGACTGAGGCTGTAGACCCAGGACTGAGGCTGTAGACCCAGGACTGAGGCTGTAGACCCAGGACTGAGGCTGTAGATCCAGGACTGAGGCTGTAGATCCAGGACTGAGGCTGTAGATCCAGGACTGAGGCTGTAGACCCAGGACTGAGGCTGTAGATCCAGGACTGAGGCTGTAGATCCAGGACTGAGGCTGTAGATCTAGGACTGAGGCTGTAGACCCAGGACTGAGGCTGTAGATCCAGGACTCAGGCTGTGAGTCCATGATATGCCCCTCACGCACACCGTCTACTAGATAATAAACAGAAAAATCCAATAAAACACTTTGAACAGTCGCAAAATGAAGCTAATTATTACCCATTTGTATCGGTCGCCGAGCGTGACAGCATCTGTGGACTCCAAACCGAAACAAAACGAGACGTCGGTTTGTGTTTAATTACAGCTTCAGTCCCGACACCTGCGGACCGTAATCCCGTTATCCGAGAGTGATTTGGTTGTTTGTTTGGTGAGCTTACAGAACGAGAGCTGCTCAGGTCATTTCTCATCCAACAACCCACTGTTTCCAAGCCGCGCAGCCAAACCGTTCGACCAATCAGAGCGGCACGCCAGCCAAACTGCATCAGAGAGACCCGGAGAGGGGTTTGGAGCCAGCGCTGAGGTTTCGGGGTTGACAGCACACTTCTGGAATAAGTACGGATTAGTGAGGGCTTCAGTGAGGGCCTTTGGAAGCAGAGATGTTGCTGCCAAACCGGTCTGACCACTCTGGAACCTGTCTGCATCCGGCGTAGCAGAAGAGGAGTTTCAAAGGTGGCTTGTAATTGCTTTTTTATTCCCCTTTCTCTGGGGTTAGGACTTCAGATATGGGCCAGGACTTCATGGGAGTCCTGAAGTCCTGGTCCTTGTTATCAGACCGGTTTGGGAGCAAACAATTTTTCTACAAGGTGGCCATTGGAAGTAATAGAAATTCACAAACTAGAAATTTGTTTTGGTATACAGTATGGTGCAAAAAAATCATAAATCATTAGATAATAGAAATACCCACTGCAAAAGGTTATGAAAAGTTTTCTCAAATTTGACCAAATGCATCTAAATTTGAAAATTTTCAAATCAACAAAAAAAGACAATAAGCGTTTTCACATTATTGAGATACTGGCTCTATTTCACGTTCGCCGTTTCGCCTGTTTGCCTGCTCCGTGCTGCGCTGGCCGCCGCCTTCTTCTGCTCCTCCTTGGCCCCTCCCCTCACGTGTGTCTCGTTCAAGACCTGGCATTCCAATAGATCTCAATGTTAACTAAACTAAAATCTCTCTCTCTCTCTATGGTGTTTTTCTTGTCTCTCTTTTGTCCCTCTCTCTCTGGTCTCTCTCTTGCCTCTATCTTTTGCTTCTCTCTCTGGTTTCTCACCCTCTGGTAACTCTCTGCTCTCTCGTTCACCATATTTTTTCTACAGAAGGCATTACTTCAAACAGTAAACAGTCTCATTCTTGTTTCTGATATTAAATAATGCCTTTTTTAGCATTTTTTGCGAAACAAGATGAAACCCAATCCAAGCACTTAAACCACAGCCTCCATGTCTCCAGCTTTTCCACCTTTTTCATTCTTCCTCACGTCTTCGCGGCAAGGAATCCACTCATGCCAGACCATTAGCCTCACCCCCCATCCTCCCCCATCCTCCCCTCCTCGGCGTCTCCTGTTCTCCCATGCAGATTACGGCGATGTATGAGGGCCATTTTGGTCGCGGCGGGGCGGAAAGCATCTCCGGCGGACCCCATCACGGCGCTGCAGCTGTTCCCCTCCGCCAAGCCCTATCAGCCCGGTCCATCAGAAGAACAGGGCATCAATTATACATGGCGTGTGTCGGTGTGAAAACCTCCGCAGAGACGTCGTTTGGTTTTGTGATTAGTGGTGCCGAATGGTGGTAACTGGTCCTTGGGTGATACAGGCGGCGGTGGGGAATAGGCATTAGAATATTAGCAGGTTTACTGTGGATAGAGGAGAATACATTAAACAGACTTGAACAAAAAGTCAGCGTGAGGAGACAAATTTGACTTTGGTTAAGAAAGGTTAAAGGGAGACAAGAGAAAGACCAGAGAGACCAAAAAGAAACCAGAGAAAGACCAAAGAGACCAAAAAGAAACCAGAGAAAGACCCGAGAGAGAGACTAGAGAGAGACCAGAGAGATAGAAACCAAAGAGAGACTAGAGAGAGACCTGAGAGAGACCAAAAAGAAACTAGAGAGAGACTGGAGAGAGAGACCAGAGAGAGACTAAAAAGAAACTAGAGAGAGACTGGAGAGAGAGACTGGAGAGAGAGACCAGAGAGATAGGCCAAAGAGAGACTAGAGAGGAACCAGAAAGAGAGACCAAAGAGACCAGATAGAGATCAGAGAAAGATACCAAAGAGAGATACAAAAACCCCTTATAGACCAGAAAGAAACCAGAGAGACCAGAAAGAGAGATCAGGGAAAGATACCAAAGAGAGAGAGAACAAAGAACCCATAGAGAGAGACCAGAGACAGACCAGAGAGACCAGAAGAGAGAAAGATACCAAAGAGAGAAACCAAAGAATCCTTAGAGAAAGACCAGAAAGAAACGAGAGAGAGAGAGAGACCAGAAGAAGACCAAGGAAAGAGACCAGAGAGAGACCATTCCTGGTGTGACTTGAGTCTGACCTTCTTCACATGAAAGCAACAGTTTGGTTTTACTTCCGTCTAAATTACCGCTTTATTTTGTTGAAATGTCCTCTATATTTCCCCTTTTGAAGGTCTGCGTACGTGCCGTGCGTCTCAAACCTGTTTTCTGGTGTCAAAACCATGTAATAATGATACACTGCCCCAACAATAAACGACAGAGGGCGGAGAGACCATCACTTTTAACCATTCTTGCCTTTCATGGTCTCCGATGATAAATCCACCGCTTAAACCGTCCCACATTAAATCTCCCAGACATTGTTGGGAGTTTGTGTCCTAAAAATGTGTTCGCCCAAGTCAATAAATCCAGGACTTTGTAGCTGCACGGACTTTTGTTTGCTAAAGTGATAAACATCCCGCCCCCGAGATGCTGTTTCTGTTGAATACTCAAGATTTAGAGTCCGAGTAATTTATGAAACGTGAAATAGTTCCTCCCATGTCGGGCCAAAACAAACAGGTATTATGCATTGTTAACTTTGGGCCAAGTTTTTACTTTGACAATCTATGTTTTAGAACTGATGATGTGAGTTGACTAAGAATAAGAGTTAGAGACTTGAGAGAGAGCGAGGGAGAGAGAGAGATGAAAGAGAGAAACCAAAGAGGGACCAGAGAGAAACCAAACGGGGGATTAGAGAGATAGAGAGAGACCCGAGTGAGAGACCAGAGAGAGAGTTTACAAAGCATATAGGAGTACGTCAAAAAGAGCAGAATGACAGAGAGAGAGAGAGAGAGAGAGAGATGAGAGAGAAACCAGAGAGGGGCCAGAGAGAGACAAAGGAACTAGAGGGACTAGAGAGAGAGACCGGAGAGAAACTGAAGAGGGACCAGAGAGAAATCAAATGGGGACTAGAGAGACTAGAGAGAGAGAACAGAGAGAGAGGGACCAGAGAGAGAGTTTATGAAGCAAAGGATTGTAGTACTTCAAAAAGAGCAGAGAGGCGAGAGAGAGAGAGACGAAAGAGAGACCGGAGAGGGATCAGGGAGGGTCTAGAGCGAAACCAAAGAGAAACAAAGGGACAAGAGAGACCAGAGAGAGAGACCAGAGAGAGAGAGTTAACACAGCATAAGAATGGGAGTTTGCCAGAAAGGGCTCTATTTTGGTGTTGCTGCCAAACCAGTCTGACCACACTGGTAGCAATCTGCCATCCGGCTTCTAACTTACAGTACTTGAATATTTTTTTTATTCTCATCTCTCTGGGGTCAAGACTTCAGGGGTGAAAAAAGTTATTGTCTGACCGGTTTGGGAGCAACATTGTTACGCACGAGACAGTACTTCAGGAGAGAACTTCAGATAGAGAAGACCTTGGGAGAGTCCTTGCCCCAGAGAAAGGGCAAGTACAAACAATAGAAAATACAATAATAAAAGTTACCAGACGGCCTTGAAAGTTTACTTCTGCTCAATCGGATGCGGACTCACGCCCAGAGAGGGGGGAGCTATTGTTGTCTTTAGTGATAGGGGAAACCGGAGCACCTGGAGGAAAACGCAGACACAGGAACAACATGCAAACTCAGAAAGGTCCTGTCTGGAGGTGAAATCAAACCTAGGACCCTTTTCTCGGGAGGCACAAGCGCTAACCACTCTGCCACCCAACAAACTTTGAACAAACTTGACAAATCCAAATAACTACTTCCTCGCTCTCAAAACATTTTGCTTTCGTCGCTAGTTTCCATTTCTCAGCTTCAGATCAGCTTTTTCAGACTTATTCACAACATTTACCAAACAGACTTTAATTATTTCTAAATGTTTTTCTTATATATTTTCGGACCATTCTTTCCCTGAGTCCCGCGTCTTGCACGTCGACGCAGGCTGTCGTCCATAAATACATCATCCATCATATTTTCGCCTCGGACCGTCTGAGCGATCCGTCTGTCACACGCCTGCTCGAGCTGACACGCCCATCAATCTTGTTTCCATGGAGACGTCATTGCTCGCGGTGTGGCCGGTGCCCGCGGATCGCTTTATGATGGATTTGGCTTCAGGGCTCGGTTTGGGAGAAGAGACTGAGGCCAGAGATCCAGATATGACAAGTGCACGGAGAGACTCACTGTTGGAAAGGAAAAAGTGACAATTTTCAGATATGGGGTGGATTATTTCTAAAGAATAAGTGCTCACTGAAATATTTAGACAGATTTGTAAATGATATTGGATTGAGATGATAGCGATTTTAGTAGGTCTCGCTCTTCTCTCTCTCTGGTCACTCTCAGGTCTCTCCCTTGTCTCTCTCTTTCTGGTCTCTTTCTGGTCTCTCTCTGGTCTCTTTCTGGTCTCTCTCTGGTCTCTCTCTGGTCACTCTCTGGTCACGCTCTTCTCTCTCTCGTCACTCTCTGGTCTCTCTCTGGTCTCCCTCTGGTTTTTCCCTCTGCTCTCTCTCTCAGGTCTCTCTCTGATCTTTTTCTGGTCCCTCTCTCTCTCACGTCTCTTTCTAGTTTCTCTCTCTTGTCTCTCACTCTGGTCTCTCTCACACCTCTCTCTTAGCTCTCTATGTCTTGTCTCTCACTCTGGTCTCTCTCACACCTCTCTCTTAGCTCTCTATGTCTTGTCTCTCACTCGGGTCTCTCTCACATGTCTCTCTCAGCTCTCTCTCTCTTGTCTCTCTCTGAGGTCACTCTCTACTTTCTCTCTGGTCTCTCTCTGGTTTCTCTCTGCTCTCTCTCTGGTCTCTCTCTGGTCTCTTTCTGGTCTCTCTCTGGTCTCTCTCTGCTCTCTCTCTCCACAGAGGCGGCAGTTGCAGAAGTCGAGTTTGGAGATGACAAAGAAGTAGACTAGAACTTGTGCTGTGGCTTGTGGGAGGGAGGGGCAGATAAGACCATCACCACACCACCATGTTCCTATTGTTTTTAATTACATGCCTATTTATAACAAAATGTCTCCCTCTTCCATCCTATCTATTTTCGACACATAATTCCATACGTTGGTGATGGATCAGATGCAAAGTTTGAGCTCAAAGTCTCCTGTCTAATTTATCTCCTAACTTCCTCCACAGTGACTCCCATTGTGCCGTCGTAGCCTCCAAACAAAAGATAATTAGATGCCATAATTTAATAATAAAGCCATCAGATTGACTCATTAAATAGCTAAACAGCCGCGGTGGCGTAATAAGGTTTTCTCGTGCTCAGATTAAATTAATATTCACGTCTCCCTCCTCCTCCGTCTGCTTTCAGAGGAGATGAGCGGCGATAACCGTGACGCACTGGCACTAACACGCTAACACAAGATCCACCAAAAACTAACCTCTAACAAACATAATTCAGACGTGTGTAACAGTTGAAAGACTGGTTATGATTGTATTGCAGACATAAATCCTGTATTTGTATGTATAAAGCAAGTGATCAGGCAACTTTTCTGTTTTGGAGATAAACTGATGGAGAATGCTAACAAGCTAGCTCATGTTCTGCTACAACTCTCTCGGGCTCCTATTGACTTACATGTGTACAATTAAACCTATTTTTGGCTTCAAACGTCAGTTGTTTATCGCTCTCTGTGATTCTGGTGTTTATGCTGTGATATTTTCTTTGTAAATCCAGATATGAGCCCTAAAAGGTTTGACCAATCAGATGCTTTCATTCGCGGGGAAAACTCCAGCAACCGTCTTTGCAACCGTCTTATCAACTGTCTTAGCAACTGTCTTAGCAACCGTCTTAGCAACACGTCTGCTGAAAAAGGAAAGCAAAGTGGCTTCATCTAGCTTATGCAGAGGTCAAAAATACAATACATGCATGTGAAACTAGCAATCGGAGCAGAAACTGTTTGAGAGCGAGTAACCGGTCAGTTTAAAAGTTAGGTGCCCCAGCTTTAATTCTTTAAAGTATATAAAAAATATAGTATATAAAATTCAAGTTCAACCATATCTAAAAATCCTTGTTGAAAAAAGTATCTGGCTCAAAGACCTCGAAGAGACCGAGAGCTTGCTGAAAAGTTGAAATGCCCTGTTTTTAAACCCATTATTCAATAAGTTGTGCATGTTTTGAACTCAAATAGGATTACATTTTTTTCTTTCTTTGTTTTCAATTTTCTCTCCTGCAAAAGTGAGATTTATTCCGGAGCCGTCGGTTCAGTCTGTGTCCTCTGCTTCTTTGGAAATGCTCTGTTCTTGGAGCATGAAGCAACTCATTGTTTCTGAGAGTTTAGCTTGAACTGGTCCATACATGCACACACACACACACACACACACACACA